TTCTAATTAAAAGGCTTGCTAATAGTTTTATGATTTTTGGGCCTAAATACAAAACAAGAACATTTATTCTATATAGATAGATAGATATTCATCTGAAACCACCTCAACCGAGAACACAACCGATTTTAAGCACAAGAAAAATGAAAAAGCTACAAGACACAATGAAAACACTAGGGGAAACAAATCAGTGAACTCGCCAACCAAAAAAAAAGTAGTGGAATCAAAAGAATAACTTGGGCTACAAGAATTGAAAACTTTTGAAATATAAGGTTTTAACACCTACTATTGGGACAAAATTAAAATTTGAAAAAATCACAATAAATATTTCAAATAAAATCTAATATAATTTTTTTTAAAACAATCCATATGAAAAATAGAATAACAATAAATGAAAACAATAAAAAAATTAATAAAAAAACAGAAAACAATGAACTATTAAAATATAAAAAAAAGAACATTATAAACTTCTCGCCCATAGTGCGGCTCAACAATTAGTATATATATATATGAGCAAGTAAAGTTTGATACGGACCTTATGATAAGTTTAACTGTTTAAGTAATTTAATAGTAGACTGGTCTTGGTCAATAATTAATAATATGGCCTTTGAGAAACTTATTTAATAATCAATAAAGGGCCAATGAATGTTTCAATGCTTACATGCATCTAGGCATCTAGCTAGTATTCTAGTGTGTGTGTGTGTCTGTGAGTAATGCCACTACTGTTTAATAATTTATGATACATGATGTATTCACAATTAAAAAATATATTGGTTTAGAATCTTTAGACCATATGGTAAATATATTTAAACTAATCAACCTAATTAAACATAATATTTAAATTGATTTACTAGTTTCACATTTCAAATTTAAAGATATGTTAAGTAGTTACACACTAAAAGTTACACCCTATTATCACAGATCACTATCGTACAAAAAAAAAATTAATATTTATGACATCTTCTTTAACCTAAGCTAAAAAATTAATATTTATGGTATTGGTTTGTGACTTATAAAGAATATAGATGATTTTAATAAAATCATAGATTGTATGTAAATGAAGTCATCTAAAAGATGATAACCTGTCAATTTCTCATATACTATTTGAAGATGATAGTCTCTTCTTTTGTAAGGTTAACAGGGAGCAATGTGCGGTTATATTGGACATTCTAAAAAGGTATGAGTCGGTTTCAGGTCAACAGATAAATTTCGTAAAGTCGTCGATACAATTTGGACATAAGGTGGAGGAGGCTACCAAAATTGGCGGTTCAGGAGGTTCTTGGAATTACAACCATGGGGGGAATGGGGTCTTATCTAGGGTTACCAGACAGTATTGGAGGTTCGAAAACCAAAGTATTTTCATTTATACATGACCGGCTAGATAACCATATCAACGGATGGTCGGCGAAATTGCTTTCTAAGGGTGGGAAAGTGGTGATGATTAAGGCTGTGGCATCAGCATTACCTACGTATGTGATGTCATGCTTCCGATTACCAAAAACGATTACAACTAAGCTAACCAGTGTAGTAGCAAAATTCTGGTGGAGTACAAACGGTCATCCAGGGGGAATGCATTGGTGGGCTTGGACGAAATTATGTGATAATAAACAGTTGGTTGGTCTAGGATTCCGGGATGTTCAAGATTTTAATTCAGACCTTTTGGCTAAGCAGTTGTGGAGACTTATGGAGTTTCCTGATTCACCTTTTGCAAAGGTGTTCAAGAGTCGATATTATCGGAATTCGAATCCAATGGAGCAGATTCGATTACTTCCCCTCGTATGGTTGGAAAAGCATTATTTCAACTAGATCTTTGATGAATAAAGAACTTATTAAAAGAGTTGGGTCAGGAGAGTCCATTTCTATATGGACTAATCCTTATTTCAGCTCAATTCCCGAGACGAGCTTCTAGTAATGGGTCGGTTATGGACCCATCTCTACAAATAAAAAAATTGATTGATCGTCAAAGGAACTCGTGGCATATGGATTTACTTACAGAACATTTTGATTCGTCTGAGATCTCCTTAATTAATGCTATCCCTGTTGGTAGTAATCCAGTGGCGGATTCCTTAGGGTGGCATTTTACAAAGAATGGAATATATACAGTTAAGTCGGGGTACCATACAGCAAAAATGGTGGATCCTCAGCACTTTAAACTTGTAGTCTGTGAACCTGAGCTTCACCATTGTTTGCTAAGGTTTGGAAGTGTAACAACCGTGATTTATTTTTTTGGGGGTGTCGATCGACACCGGTTGTGGGTGTCGATCAACACCACAATCTTTGGTCGGACCGGGTAAAAATATTAATTGCGAATTTGATTGGTTTGGGTTTTTCAACCCTAGGGGTCATGTTTAAAAGAAGAAAGGTCGACCTAAGTGTTGTTTTAGCCGTTTTGATGTTGTTATCAAAGTTTCAAGAGAGTGAAAGTTCCTGAGGTTTTCTGGAGGAGTTTAGTGGCTGTTCTTGGGTTTCTAGGCTAAAGGAAGCGAGATCTTGTAGTTGTGGTGTTAGGAGTGTCTTGTGTTGCTGTTTTTGGTGTGTTTTCGTCTCTTGTCTTCTATTGCAAAAGGTGAGTGCGTGACTATGGCTGATCTAAGCATGTTTAACCCTTCTTATGTGTGTTTGATTGATTTGGATGGCTGGATTTGTCTTGTGTGGCCATGTTTGTGTGTTTTGGTTGCTGTTATTGTATGTTTGATTGTTAGGGCTCATGGCTGGAGCTTTGGAGGTGATGGATTCGTTCTCTAGGGAGTTGAGAGGCGATTTCATGGTTTCTGCGGGGTCGGTGTCGCTCGACACCAAATTTCTGGACAGTTTTTCTGGACAGCGAGTAATTGGTGTCTTTTTATGCCTAGTTTGTTTGTTTTGCTTAATTTGATGCATGTTATATTGGTTTAATATGCTTGTGTGTATAGCCCAGTAGATGGGGGGGGATCGCTTCACTGAGTATTTGTGATAATACTCATGCATCTCATTGTGTTTGTGGTGCAGGTATAGTGTGATCCGTGGAATCATGGCGAGGAGAGGAGGATGATCTAGAGTCTCGGTGGTTATGTTTATGAATATGTTTAGTTGTTGTTGGAATATGGTTTAGAGGCATGCTAGGTTGCTGGTGTAAATTGTGGTTATTGAATAATTGATTAATTAATATTATGATTAAATGGTGTTGGTTTAATATGTTTTCAGTGTGCATGATGGTTTATTGTTGAGTTAATTCAGTTAGATAAATTAGTGGGTATGGGACTATTAATTAATGAATTAAAAAAAACCGCGTCGGGTCTTTTCAGGAAGGTACGTTGTCCACCTAAAATTAAATATTTTATGTGGCAGTTGTTATCTGGGTGTATATCGGTGTCAGCTAATCTACGGAGGCGGGGAATCAATATTGACTCCAGCTGCGCGAGGTGTTGTAACCAGATGGAGATGGTGAACCACGCTATCTTTGATTGTCTTTGAGCTCTAGCTAGTATACCTATGGGTCCAAAATTTTTTCCGTCAGATTCTGTATATGCAAATATGGCTTATCTTTTTGGGTTTAACAACCCTGTAGATGGGGATGCTAGTTTTCCTTGGATATTGTGTTACATATGGAAAGTCAGAAATACAAAAGTTTTCGAGAATTTAGACGAATGTCCGATGGATGTTATTAGGTTAGCGAAGGATGAGGCTACGGCCTGGAACCATGCGCGAATTGAGGAGCCAGAACGGGATACTATTAATAATAGCAGGAACGTGAGGACTACTGGATCAGGAGGTGAATTATATCCCTTGGTGGAAGGGTATCAGTGCTATTTAGATGGATCATGGAAGGCTACAGACCAGTACGCGAGATTAGGATGGTATTGTAAGCAACCACGGAGTGCACCACCACCTATGGGGGACCAAACTACCAGACGGAGTCTTTCTCTCCTCCATGCAGAAGTAGAAGCACTTGTCTGGGCGATGCGATGTATGATTGAACATAATTTTCGCGAGGTCAAGTTCTACACTGACTGTTCTGACTTGGTGAAGATGGTGTATTCTCCTACGGAATGGCTGGCTTTCTCTACTTACTTGGAGGATATAAAAGTTGACAGGGAAGAATTCTCATATTTTTCTTTGTCTCTTATTTCAAGAAATGCAAATGTAAAAGCGGACTATTTGACACGCAAAACATGCGTTAGTTTGCAAGTTGTTAAATTTGTAAACAATGTTCCGTCAGATTGGCTCATTTGAGTTTATCTCTGTATGAAGTTGACAAAAAAAGTATTTTTAGACAAAATATTTGTAAATGAGGGTTTCTTTTCCTACCAACAAAGTTGATTTATTACATGTCCAAGAAAAACAGAAGAGGTATTTTTTAGTTTTATCCCTGCAAAACTAAAACTGCATTTACTTATTACTCTGCAAAGTCGGTTAGCGACTGATAAATCGTGAATTTGAGTCTGCCAACAATGTTAAAATAAGGTATTTCATTTATCCTTAAATAAAAGGTCAATGAATTTAAATCAATCATTGTTTAGAGTATAGAGTAGAGTAAAAAATACCATTAGAGATGATTTTACTCTTAAATATAAAGTTATGAATAAGATATAGAGTACAAGTGGAGATGCTCTAAAGTAGTGCTCTAGTGGGCTATTATTTGTAAGGTAAATTACTAAATTAATCCAATTTTTCTGGTTGACCCGGTTCAGTCCTTTTTTATTTCGTTATATTTTGTCATAAATATACACATAAATTACACACACACACACACACATATATATATATATATATAATTTTACATATGTTTCATATATACCGTATAAATACTTTATAAAAACCTTATAAACCTTTATAAAACCTTTAAGAAACCTTGTAAAAATGATTTTAAACCTTTTAAAAAATATAACTAATTATTTGAATATTGATAAAAACTCCTTATTATATTGATGAATTTTTTATAAGGTTGTCCATCCACTATGAGAGGGTATCATTTGACTATAAATGCCGATCAATATTTCTCAATCAGTTATCAATCCAAAGATCATAGAAGAGGCAATGGCGACAGATAAGCCACTGAGATTAGTTGCAGATGCTTTCAAGGAACTGGCAGCCATCGTTAGTTCACCAAACCCGAAGGTGTCGATTAAACAGTACTCTGATGCGTGTTCTCTCTTCACAAACCTATTTGGTATTCTTGAAACAGCCTTCAGGTTTGCCAAGATAGACTACCTAGCTAAGGTATGCTTAGTGAATTTATTTATGAAAACTTTCGAGATGCGATATCTAAAAATTCTCTTATTCTCTAAGAACTCGCGCGTATGTATTGTAAGATGTTGAAATCTAAAACGAAGTCGAATATTGAATTGAATTGGACTGCCTAATGAAAATATTGAAATTTTGGTGTGTGTGTGTATTCAAGGTTAATGATCTTGCCAAGGCATCAAGCTCAATATCGACATTACAGCTAATGGTTGACATAGATATTAACTCGGGCTGTGAAATGAAAAAAGATAGTCACACAAGATGCCTTTTGTGGACAAAGCGTGTTCTTGAAATGGTCAGGGTTCTGTTCGAAGAGATAATCGCAACTAAGTAAGTGTTCTTCTTGACTCTTTATATTATATATATATATAGCTATTTTAGTGTGTTAATTGCTTCTATTTTACTGTGTTAATTGCTTCTTTCTTATTCTTTGGTTAAAATGCTTTTTGAATATGATTCACAGTGCTGATAGCTCCCTGAAGGATGCGGCTTTCAAGGCTTACAATCAAGTGTTTGCTAACTACCATGGACAGGTTCTTCAAGCCTCTGCAGCTACAGCAATGGACTCTCTCGCCTCAAGGAGCACTCTACTTCTCATGATCAATGAAACTGGTTAGTCTATTTTTAAAAATGGTTTTGAAATAGAAATTCATGAACCTTAACATGATATATTTTGTTGACAAATTTTAGATTCCAAAGAGACGGCATTAGTATTTTCTTACATATCGTTAACGTTGACCTTTTTGATGTGTGATGACACATGACAATACTGAAATTTTATTTGGTGAATTAGTCAAATTCTGGAATTAAAAACAAAAAAAATCTCAACAAATAAATTTCTAACTTACAGTTTAGTTTTAATTTATGTAAAAAATGATTCAGTCAAATCTTAAAAAAAATAATTGATTTAAATATCAGATTTTTTTTTTTAGAATTACCACTTTTGGTGTACCCTTTTCAAAAATACCCCTCTTATCTACCCATTTTCAAAAATATCCCTATTTAAATATTAAAATTCTAAAGTTTTATATGGTTTATATGGTACTTCTACAGAATAACTACTACTGTGAGAGTTTTTTATAAGGTTTTTAAAAAGTAATTTTTACTCTATTTCTGAAAGATATATAACATTTTATACACATACAAAGGTAATTTGTGTGTATATTTATAAGTTTACGCATATTTGCATAAATTTCAACATTTTAATGGTTTTTTGATAAAGTTTGAAAAGGGAGTGTTTTTAAAAAGTTATATTTGAAAAGGGGTATTTTTGAAATTCTCTCAAGATATTTAAGAAATCTACGTTACATGGAAACTCTTTTCGAAGTGCGTTTCCCGTTTCAGAAACAGAAACTCTTGGAAACTCGGAAACTACCTATGGAAACATGATTCTTAAAAATTTACATTTGGAAACTCGATGGAAACTCTCGTTTCCGTTTTTAGATTAAAAAATATAATATATAAGATATATATATTGTGATTAAAAAAGAAAGATTGTATCTATCTCTAATAAAAAGATGTATAATTTCTATAAATATAAATTATGGTCCTAATCATATGTGGGATGTTGGAGGTGATCAACTTGATTCACTAAATGAGTTTAATCTTAGGAGACTTGAGTCTGAAAATCTTTCTCTAGACTAACCTGATTTAGAGGCTGTTTTATTTGATAAAAATGATAGCGGCGATACTGGTCCAAACATTTGAATTTGAGCGTTTTAGTATTATCTTTTAGAGTTTTGTTTAACTATTTAGTATTTATGTTTTCAAAAATTCTTTCTTTTTTTAATATGGATTTTATATTTGGAATTTTAGTATATATATATATATATAATTATATATACATACGTTTCCAAAACGTTTCCATTCCTTAATTTTTAAAAATTGTCGTTTCCCGTTTCCGAAACGTTTCGTTTCCGCGTATGCGTTTCCGTTTCCATGCAAATATATTGGTCGAAATAAGTTGGAAATCATTTTTATTATTATTTTTACTAATAAATAAAATCAGTTTTGGTTTTCGAAGTTAAAAAATATATATTTCCAACTTCTTACAGTTGTTTTTGCATATTGTCTTTTAATTTCTAACGAAAAAGAAAGAAATATAATCAGTTTTGATCTCCAATATGTTTCTGACGATTCAATGTTGTTTTATTTCTTTATGGATTCCTTTACAGAGGAGACAGCTAAGATATATATGCAAAGCTATGTTACTGCATCAAAACCAGTAACTAAGTACGTCGATGACCTCTTCCTCTCAAAGAACCTTGGTATTGATTGGTGAAGACCCTGAAAACTTACATGTCCTTGGCCAGTTCCCCATTATTTTCACTCTTTAATAGACTATGAATCTATCAACCCATGTAATATCAATATCGCGTCCAAAAACTATTGTTATTTCATGAACCGATTTGGTTAAGTTCAAATAAATCATCGTTATAAAGCGCATATAGATGCTATGTCAAAGCTCTGCATACTCTCACCTATAAATTGTTGTTATATTACTAATCGATGATAGCTTCTGTTGGTGCCGTATTTAGCACCTACGTCATACCGTATCAAACCGGATTGAGTTTAATTGATTAAACCGGAGAATAAGCCCTTCAAGACAAACCGACTTATTAGATGATAGTTTTCCTAGAATGAAAAGGGTCTTAATCTTTTATATAAATAGGGGGCTTTGTCCCCTATGAACATCCATCGAATCATTAATACAAGAGCCCTAGTTCTCTAATCATCTAAACCCTAGTTTGTTCTTCAAGCAACCTAATCTTCATCTCAATCATGTGTTTGATCGAACTTCAAAAAGAGATAATCTAGTGAATTTGTTCCCATCTTCTTAACAAATTCATTGTGCGAATTCTAGATTCTACAGCTTCCTATTGATTGCGTGGATTGCAATATTTATCTTGCAATCAACTTTTGACTTAAAATATGTGCAGTAAACAGCTTGTCCCATTTTTCTTTGTATGTCAGCTAAAGTGCTCTCAACTCCTGAAAAAAAACACAATAATTTGAAAAGTTATGAAATTTAAATTTCAACTTAATTCCATACTATATTTATGTGTATTTTCATATTTTGTATGTAGTGGACTGTATAAATGAAATTACCTTCATATTTTGGCACACACAACGCAAAATCAGTCACTCATAGTGTGTAATGCTTCTTCAACATGTCTCCAAATGGAAAGAGAGTTAACTTCTATTTCACCTCCTCTTTATATGTGCTCCTAGTTGAAGTTGGGTCCGGTTACACTCAACTAGCGTAGGGTTCTCAGGTTAGGAAAATGGAACAAGTTGGAAGTCATTGTCATCATTGTCACTGTTCTTTTTTATTTCAATCACCTTCTGCCACAATTATTCCTTTTTCCCAAAAATCATAAGTCCTAGACGGATTGAGTCACCTCTTTCCTTAATTGTTATTCATTTTTCCGTTGCTAGGAACATAGCGCATAACGATGATTTCCTTATCAACGACTCAAGGTATATGCAGAGCCGTGGCTATGAAGGCATTTGCCTTAAGCCCCCAAAATATAAAGATTTTTTAAGGTCCCCAAATCTTAAAAGATATGGTGTATTAGAATTGTTTTGATTGAATATTTTAGTAAATGACTATAGATTCAAAAAGCATTAGGAAAATAACCATGAGTATTTAGGTAACTAACCTGTTCGAGAGAAGTGAAAAATCAAAACTGTCATCAAGCAAAAAACAAAGATATAATAGCGTATTGTAATATTTAAAAAGAACATGTTATACAATAAAAACATCATGGTATATTTAAGTGACAATTTTAAAAATACCCCTTTTGGATATTCCCTTTATAAAAATACCCCTGTAAGGGGAGCATTTTTAAAACTACCCCTATTTTAGTGCTAAAAGACGATTATGCCCTTGTTTAAGTTAACCTAAAAATCTTTTAATTCACTCTTCTCTCTCTCCGGCAATAAAGAATTTGTCTCTCTCGACGGCTCCGGTGAGAATCGTCTGTTTCTCGACTCCAAGCTCAGACTCCTCATCGGCGTCGCTGGTTGAGGACTCCTCGTCGTCGCCGTTTGGGATTTGTTTCAGACCTGCAAATCAGAGAATTGAGGTTTTATTACTCTGAAATGGCTACAATTATTCAGGGATGGCTTGTATCACGTTATTGAATTTGAGCTTAGCTTTTGAATTTCTAGTTTTTGGTACTTTAGTTGCTGTTAGGAATGGCAAGAATTTCGGTTCAATTTAATCATTCGTGTCTTTCATCTTTCAAATGAATTGACTAAATTCCATTGTTTCGGTTGTTTAGGTGATTTTGTAAGTTCCTTGTTATCATCTAAAGCCGCAGTCTCATGCTCAAATCTAGTTGGATATAAAGCTCATCTGAATTGGAGAATAACACATGTTGGATTAGTGTATTACGTACGTGAGAGAAACTGGTAATTATGGAGGTTCTCTTGATGTTTTTCTTTGTATTTTTAATGGGTGATGGAGCCACATGATGGGGATTTGAATATTGGTGTTGTTTCTTTTTCTTAGTGGGTTGTCCTAAAAGAAACGTGATAGAATACCAATTTGTTGTTGTTGATTTAGGTTGCAGATAAGTGTAGAGAACAATTGCATAATAATGTGAAGGAGGAGGCTGGAGTTGTGGCTTCCGAAGAGTGGAAAGAGAAGATGGTGAAGAGTTTTCAGAAAATGGATAAAGAAGTTAGCCAACGAGAGTGTAACTTAGTTGTTAGTGATGAGAATCAAAGCAAATTACAAATCCACGTCTTAAAAAACTTAGGGGATGTTATTGGATTCTAACTTATAAAGAATTTAGATGACTCTGCTAAAATCATAGATTGGATGATTTTAAAGGATTGTTTGAGATTTTTATATAATCTTGTTGATTAGTTTTTTAAAAGTCTTGTAAAGTCTCTCAAACAATCTCTGTATTTATAAGATACTTTTCATGACTTTATTTTGTAAAGAAGAGTGTTTAAAATCATAAACCAATAACATAAAATTTTAATTCATTAACAATCAGAGATTCTTTTGTTTTAATTGAATAACACAGAACTTTTAATGACTTTGTAAAACTCTGTATCCAATAACCTCATATTTATGGAGATTTTGAATGACTCTTTACAAATCAATAACTAATAACACCAAACTTTAAAAGATTTTTGTAAAATCTTGATTGAATAACAACAGATTCTACCTAACATCTAAAGTTATTAAAACTCCATATAACTCACAAACCAATAATTTTGATGATATATCCTAAGAATTATACACATTTACACAAAAACTTATAGACCATCGGATTTGTTCGGGGTTTTTTGGGATTTTGGATAATACCCGATCGGGTTTGGGTATCAAAAACTAATAAGACCTAGACCCATTCGGGTATTTTCTATTCTCGGGTATAGGTTCAGTTCGGCTTTTTTTTATCGGATTTGGGTATTTTGCCCAGACATTTTTCATACCATGAAGTGTGACCACACAATCCTTCAGCTGTTATTAGATCATGCAGGTTAACAGATTTGAGAATCTAAACAAAAATCATATGTTATTTAATCATTATCTTTAAAATAATTATAACAATCTTATTGTTTCTATGATTTATAAATACTATTTACAATCTTATATTATTCGCTTAGTGATTTGTTTTTAGATTTTAAAATTCATAGTATCTTTTGAATGGATTTAAAAGTTTTTTTTTTTGTCAACTTGATTTGAAAGTTTTAACTTTTGTTTTTTTGTCTTTCGATCAAAAGCCTTTGTATTTTGTCTTTTGATCAAATGAAGAAACTTTTTTTCCTTTGTCTTCTAACTATATAAGAATGAATTTTGATCCAAAGGCTTTTGTATTTGGCTAAACCAATTTATTTAAGAGTGTATTTCATAAAAGGTAACTTATGAGAATCGATATATAAAAAATGTAACAATATAAGCAGAGGCCGAGTCTCCACTTATTTTGTCCAAAAAATGACAAAAGTAACCAAATAAAGTAAGTTTACCAACCGGAGGAGTATGTAAATCAGTTTCAACTTTTAAGTTACACATGGACTGAGATTTACGCTTATTCTGTTACGTATGTACTGTAGTTTTTAATGGTTTATGAAAGTGTACTAAGTACGAGTCCGAGTTTTTGAATAGATTTTTGAAAGGTGTTTGAAGGTTTATGATGTTCAGAAACAAATGGATGAATTCACTATTGTGATCTACGGGAGATGGCGATGTTGTGAAGAAAGGAAATGGAAGATCGAGCTTTTGAGTTTTTTATTTTTTGTTTTTTTTGTTCGTTCTTCCAGATCTATATCGGCAGTGATGATGCTCTTTATGATCATGTGGATGAGGTTTCTTGGATACCAATGATATATTCTGTCCAAACAACGTTTCCACTCAATCTTAAGTCTCTCATGTTCATCTTGGATAAATGATTGTTATCCATATGTCCACATTTACAAAGACACACTCATTTATACTAAACTATATAAATAAGTGAACACATGTTTTGATAACAATCAGTTGAATGAAAATTTTAAATTGATTCATATTATGTCCGCGAAGCTAAAATCCACGAAACTAAAGTTAACAACCCAAAAAAATGTTTAGATGTCCACCAAATGCAGAGCATTATCAAGAGTCCATTTATGCATAAAGTCGTGTTATTTTGGAATGAAGATGTCCATTGAGCATAGTACATATCTATAGTCCATTAGAGTCCAATATGCATGATTTGTTAGGCTGAGTCCATAATCAGATATCTATTATTAAGCATGTCTAATTTAGTAGGAAGTGAACGAGTGGACATATCCACATGGACGTAGTACGAAGTAAACTAAAAACATGAAGTGAACAAAAACGGATAGGAGAAAAAATCTGAGAATAAATACGAAGTGAACATATACGAGAATCAATAATTTCAATGAAAAACAAATTATGATTCGAACTAGTGATACGTAAAACTCAAAGGCAAAGCCCATTCCCGTACAAAGCAAAGGTATGTCCATTAAGGGGGAAGTCTTTTGAATGGACTTGCATATGTGGATATGGGTTACATTATAAGCGGACAAAAGTTGTGTCCAAAAGTTCATGAACAACACGACCAGTCCAAATAAGAAAAACTGAATATAATGAAATTCAAATGAGCATTCTTCTCTTCTTCTCGACATCCGGAAACAAACAGGGGGAATAATAAAGAGTTTAATAAAAAAGGAAAATACAAATCGAATAAAAGAAGAGTAAAAGAAAGTACAAAACGCAAAAGAAGTACAAAGAGAGAGTGAGTGAGAGAGTTTGTTTAGTTGGAGTGGCAAATTAGTTATTTTGAGAAAAAGGCTAATAAGGCACTATATTTTCTCTATATCAATGAAGAAAAGAAGAAGTTACTTTCTCTGATATTAATTTTGAGAAAGAAATGTGATATATTCTCTTTATTTAAATATCGGCTTATCCTAACTTAGTTCGGGTTGGAACGCGTAGTAGTGGCTCAATAGCTTAGGCTCAATATTCTTTTTTTTTTACTATATTTTTATGGGCCGCTAAATATTAACCACATCAAATGCTCAAGGCCCAAATTTTGAAATATATAATACGCCATTCCATTCACATGTTGAAACCCTACTTTTCTTAAAATTCTCTGCCGCTAGTAAAAAAAGTTAGAGCTCTCAAAAGTGTAGAAAAGTTAGAATCTGAGTTTCAACGCCGCTCATCATATTTTGAAAACCCTTTGAACGCATGTGGTTTAATATAGGTATGTGTTTTTCTCTTCTTTATAGCATTGTAGTTTCAAACCTTTAAATTTTGTTATGAATTCATGGTAGTTCACATAACTTTCTGGTTCCTAGGATATTGGTGATTGGACGAGCCCGCTATCTTCACTCCGGGAATGAGAGAAAAAGCATGTTCTGTTTTTGGTGAGGTTTCCACTATTTCTCTTTTTCTATATAGATATAGATTTATTTTTTCCATTTTTATGTTTTACAAGCAATCAACTTTAGATCTTCATTTTTCATCAAACTATAATATTTATATTGAATATACTACATAATAGGGATCCACACAAATCTAATACTCTTGAATTTTTTGAGTACTTAATTCTAGATCTGTTATATTAGTGAAACAGCTCTCCGGTGACGGATACATTGATATTCACGGCTATTCATATCCGACCCGAATATGCCAAAAATGTTTTAAATTATTTTAAATGTTTATAAATTAAAAAACAAAATAATATAGCATGTCATATGATATTTTCAAAATATCATAGGACATTTAGTTTATTTTAGTTTTAAAATATACCAAATTTTAAAGCTATGTATCATAATAAAATTATATGTGAAAAGTGGATATGAGTTAGATTGGATTATTATAATTTACCCTTGGGAATAGTATCCAAACCGAAAATTTTAAACGAACCAAAACAAGATTTTTGGTTTATGGTTTGATTTCGGTTAAGAGAAGATAACTGATCGGAATAGATTATAATTTGCAATCGGTTACAGGTTCATTCGTTTTTGTTTGCCCTAACCGATCAGTTACCCAAATTAGCTCGAATTACTCGCATTACCCAAAATTACCCAACCTGAATAACCTAAAATTACCTATATTACCCAGAATTAACCGAAATTAAACCAAATTAATCGACCCAATCTAACCAAACTAACCAAAAAAATAAAATATTTGATTTATTTTGATAACCAAACAAATTACCAGAAACCTGATACCCAACCTGATCCAAACCGCAATGCAATTCGGTTATTTTTGGTAACACTTTTCGAATTCTAAACTATCTGAATATCCGACCAAAATTATCCAACCCGACCCGTATTCGCAAGCCTAATATAATCTTTATATATATATATACCCTTATCTGATGTTTTGGACACCCTAAACCTTTATCCCATGGCGTGTTTTTTTTTTGTGCATTCATCTTAATAGTAAAACCTCAAAAAATAAAATTTAAAAAACTTCAAAACCATGGAATTATGATCATGGAAAATGGATTATTAACATATGATTAATTTCATGGCACAATAACCCTATTTGGTATTGCTAGTTATATTTTTTCTCCTATATTTGTAAATATATTTAATCAGTCAAAATTAATTTCTCAATATATTAAGTTTTCTTATTTAATATTTTTAATCATTTTTAAATAAGCGGTTTTTTGAGTCATAGTTTCATTAAAATGGAAAATCAGTGTATTGTTTTGGATTTTTTTTCATTAAAATTATATGAAAAATGATCTTCACTTATGATCTACATATTTCTTGTTTTGTTGACAGATTTTGTTTTGTCAACAACAAATTCATATATTACAATATATTTAAATGAATTTATATATCATTAATACCTTATTATATCCCCATCAATTAGACAAGTATGGTCCTTATAAATAAAAAACGTTAAAACTATCACTCTGTCCACATTTCCTAGATCAAAAATACAAGTAATGTTTGGAAACTCGGGTTTATCGCTGCTATGGGAGAAAAAGTAGAAGAAAGTAGTCTCCAAGCTCAAGCAAATCCCCAATAGAAAACTCCATGGAGATCATCCTCCCATTTGATCTCTTAATTGCGATATTCTAAGGATTTCATTGAAGGACATTGCGAGGTATCGTTGTGTTTCGAAACTTTGTTTTTCCATACTACATCGTCGAAATTCACCCAAATGTTTCTAAAATCATGTCATCGGTTTGGTCCTGTATTTTATTCACCTTCCTATACAACGGTAAGGCGATCTTTTACTGCATACCTCAAAAACTAGATCCAGACCGCAACTAATCTTCTCCTATATCTCCCTTTTACCATATGCATTCCCTAAAAGGTTTGTGTTTGGGGGAAGATATGTGTCCCTTTTCAGTTGGTTTGATCTGTAACAAATTT